GCAAAATTGCAAATAAATTAATGACCGTCGCTTCTGGCGAAAAAAATTTGCAAAGTAAACACGATCTTATTTGTCACATAGCGAAAGTGAAAGCTGCAATGTCAGCACATTCCATGGCTGACGTAATACCTTTTTTTAGCATATTTATTATTCCTTTTGAATCCAACGCTTCGATAAAACCAAACGAAAATATATTTTACACACAATAAAGAAAACATCCGTATCATTGTCCGTGTATTAATGTTTCAACAGCTTTTGGTGAATACACATCACAGGTTGCGTGATTCAAAATTTGGCCAAGAGGAAGTTTGGGTCTGGTCACAAAACTGAAAAAAAAGTACTAAAAATAAGCCCCATGCAGAACATAAACCGCACTCAGCCCATGGCCGCGTGGTTAACAAACTATACCCAATAAGTGTAACCAAGATTGTAGAAATTACCTAGTACGCAATATACACAAAATTCATTACTGGCGGCCTGCTCAGGCAGTCGTCAATACAAGAGCACGAAATCAAGGTGGGTGAGGATAGCATCCCCAACTCCAGTAAGGCAAAAAGTGGAGTAGAGATGTATGTATTCCTGTGTAAGACATTTAATTCCTGTGTAACATTCTTTGCATTACTAATGTAATATTCCTGTGAAGGGCAGTAGATATATAGGTATATAGATATGGTTCAGGCAACTGCCAAGCTAATCAATTTTGGCTACGAAAGGCAGGTATAAAACTGACGATAAATTGACGGCGTTTGGTGCTATTGATTTTGGAAATACGGGTTTCAACCATGCTTTACAGATTCAAGACACTATGAATTTATTTGTTTTACGGGGACTGGGATGTAGACCTTGAGGTGGTGACTTAAGCATTTGTAACTATTTGTGACAGGCGGTTTTTAGCATTTTATCTTGTTAGTGTGCGAGCCCTCTTTTCACTCAACTCACTTGCATTAAAATCAAATTTGACAAATAACAGGCTTAAAAGGTTGAAGTGACAGGTTTCAGTCTCGTAGCAAAATGTAAAGATGACAATGAGTGGATTAAAAACTGCATTTTCTGCAAATAAGCAAACAGGTATAACTCACAAAAATTAATTGTTAGGTACATGATCAATATCTCACTGTATGTATACCATGGGTTAGATCAGGGCATCATGCCAAATCGAATTGCATTCATAATGCTATCAGAACTGTATCGCTTGCATTGTGTTAACTTTACATTTTATTTTTAGCATGAGTAGCCTGTACACAGGCTGGCATGAGGGCATAGTCTAAAACTTAAAGGCAATACGCAAATTACCCTGAATTTATCCTTGCTGACTTCTCGCCGAATGGTTTTCGATTCCTCTGATATCAGTATCATTTTAATCCATGAAATAAAGCGATAAACAACAGATTTAAGCTTAAAATTGAAGGCTTTCATGCAAATACAGAACCACAACAGGTTACTGGGATTATGAACTCAAACTGGTATTGAGTCATGTCTGCATTACATAATCAATGGGAGTAGAACTGGCAAAAAAAAAAGCAGGTGGATCAAAGATCATGATCCTTCAATATGTATCTTTGTGATCTTTGGTTTCAGTTAATGATCTGGAATATTAATTTTTGGTTCTTTGTCTTCTTCAGGTGCTACAATAGGAGCTGTGTATCGAACTGCACATTTCACCATGCCTCGCTATGCTGCATTTCTTTGGGGTGCTGGACAAGCGTTCATAGGATTTTTGGTATCTTATACACGGATATTGGCTACCCTGTGACGCAAGAATGTGATTGTGAATCAATGTAACTTTGAGCTGCTTGATAATGACAAACAGAGTAAAGGACTAGGAACTAGTTAAACTTCATGTACTATATATGGGCACATACTTTGTGTACTGTATGGGGCATAATTTGACTCAACCTTTGAAGGAAGAAAGAACATAATTTACAGAGTATGCCAGGCCATGTTTTCTCATCACAACTTATCACTAAACAAAGGCAGCAAGTAGAGATGGAAACATAAGTTTATTTTACAAGGCAAGAGAAGACACCATATACATTGTTGGTTATATATACAGATTTTATGTGTACTGCTATTGGTCTGTGCATTCCACAAGAATGTACTAAAAGAACCCTTCACTTGGATGTGTTTACACAAGTTCTATTAATAAATTCAGTTTTAGTCATCATCATCTTCGTCATCATCTACATCATCCATATCTTCAGCTGCCTCCATAGCTTCTTCCTGTGCCTTCTTGAGTGCCCTCTCCTCCTCTACCGTTGGGTCATCAACTTCTGTTACTTCGGACACCACTGGGTACTCCTCCATGGCTGCAGGGGGTGGAGGTGGGGTGTAGTTGTCAGCATCAAATTTGTGGCCCCATCCAACATAGATGTTTTCAAATTTCCTTTTAAAAATAATGACACCACCAACAATTAGGATGTAAGTTATTCCTTTCTTGTGGGAGAATCAGTGGTGTAATGGTTATTGTGCTGGTCTTTGCATTCAAGCCCTGGCTGGAGTCAATGTGTTGCATTCTTGGGCAAGACACTTTACTCTCACAGTGCCTCTCCCTACCCAGATGTATAAAATAATTAGTACTGGCAAATTTAATGTTGGGGGGTGGAACCCTCTGATTGACTACAGCCATCCAAAGGAGAGTAGAAATCTTTGTAATCACTTACTGCTAGAGAAACCTGTAATAAGCTCCAGTGGTATATACCACTTGGCCTGATGCCGACTTAACATCCATAACGTGCCTTTTCAACACAGTCCAACAAAGTGGGCCCTTTGTCCCAAACATCAAAAGATCGTAAATTAGTAAGGCTGAAATTAGCAGGGCTTGTTATCCAATAACATTTTTCCACTCAAATCTGAATTTTTGCAATTTATAAAATCCTAAAATCTCACACCAAGAGCATCAGTGGTTACAAAATTGGCAACCTTACTTGATCCATCGCACTCTTTTCATTTCTGGCACCTAATTAATTCTACTAGTAACAGCTTTCATGATGGACAAGGTCATGACAGACTTCAGTTTCATAAGTGACCTTCTAATCATCAGGCACTTCCACAAATTGGTGGTGTAGCAGCTCTCGTGAGCTTGTAATTCTATTTGTCGTCATTGCAGCAGCTGTTATTGTTTTAGGGCTTGGGGGCATTGTTTTTGTTGTTTGTTCTATTGTCCTCTCAAAGGGTTTCAAGCCATTCATGTGAGACCTTACAAGAGATACAACATGACCCCAACAAATGACTTCATGTTCACTACCTATCTTTTGCAAAGGCAACTGCACCAGGCCACCTGTTGGAACGCATGACAGCAAGGCCATACTGAGGTAGCAATTCTGATGAGACATAGGGAGTCCAAGCAGGCATTCCGTTTACAGCTGTAACCAACAAAACAAAAAAATTAAATCCCAGCTCTTTCCTAGAGCAGACTTTTTTGTCTGAACAAAACCTTTGCAGGTCATTAAAACACGTAAACATGTAAACTTGCTTTAAAATGTTATTACACACGAACAGTGCTGTTTATTATTTTTTTTGGGAAAATATACATTCTGATTCACTTGATTTGACAAAATTGTTTATCCAGGTCATGAATATTTTGGCTTTCAATGAGAAATGTATCAAACACTTGACAGAATTCTGATCACTTTCCAAACACCTTGAATATTGTAAATTATAAAAAACTCTGCTCCCTTCTCAGTGTTTGGAAATGTGATGAAACACTCCCCTGCATGTTTGATATTTTACATAAATACAGTCAATTTTACAAACAAATATTTGATAGTTTCACTCACGTTCATCCTCAGCGATGGAAGTTAATAATTGTGGTCCTGATTCTGGTTTTGGTTCCTCTACATCTTCTCTTTCTTCTTCCTCTTCTTCTTCTTCAAAATCATCTTCTGGTTTTTCTATGGGGTTGTGCCAAACACAGCGACCCTAACACAACAAAACAAACTGATTACAATTAAGGTGATAGTTTCCAGCATTTTTTCAACAGGTCTTCTTGATGGATAAATACCACCATTCTTTTTTTCAGTTGATGCTACAGTAATGGTATGAAATGGCCAACTATTAGTAAACTAGTTGTGGTCATTTTTATGATGGTGCAAAAGCATGACCCATAATTTTAGCTCTAAGTGCTTATAACTCAAAAACAATTTCAGAGACCCAAATAGTTGTTTGAAATATTTGTTTATTTATTTGCAGTGTCCCCAATTAGCATATTAGTGCCAACTACATTGACACTTAAATAAAGTTGTTGTTATTATTATTATTATTATTATTATTATTATTATTATTATTATTATTATTATTATTATTATTATT